TGGCGAGGAGCCGGCGGGCCAGCGGGCGTCCCTGCGGCCAGCGAGCGGGAGGAGGAGCCGCCGCCACGCCAGGGGCAGCCGCAGGAGCCGAGGAGGGCGCCCCAGGTAAGAGCCGCCGCGCCTCCTCCCCCGGGACTCCGGCGTCCGGGTCGCCCTGCCCCTGGTTAGGGAGGGACGGGGGCGGAGCCGGAGGGGGCGGGGCTTGGCGGAGGAAACTGAGGCAGGAGGGAAATGTCTTAGATATGCAGTCTGTTCCCGTCGGCGGGGTCTCGGGAGTCCGGACCCCCAGCCCAGACCTTCTGGGGAAGAAGGGACCTGGGAGTCCGCATTTCTGACCATCCCGGGGAGGAGGGGCCTGAACTCCAGAACTCCTGGGTCTCACGGCGGGGCCGGGGGCCTGGGCTCCTGGTCTGAAGGAGGAGGCAGCTGCAACCCAGGGGTGTTTGGTCTGAGGGGGGAGGCAATTCCTGGTCCTGGCTGGGTCAACCTGTGCTCCTCTTTACTCTCCACACTTCTCATTACCCCATCTCTGAGCCAGGACAGGCAACCACTCCAAGTATGTGCAGTAGAAGTCTTGGGCGGGCCCTGGCCTGTCCTGTGAGGAGAGAACATTCCAGGAAGCAGCCTTGGGGACCCAGGGATTCTTGAATATGGGCCCTTAGGGACCTGGGTGTCCAGGCCAGCCCCGCCCCTGCCGCATCTGGGAGATGAATGGGCCGAGGGGGATGTAATCTGTTCCAGCTTCCTTCATCCTGCCGCCTCTCCCTTCTCCTCCCCCAATCTGTTTCCCATCCAGCCAGGAGCCATCACCTGGGCAGGGAAGGGGCCTCCAAAAAGGGGGCGGAGCCTTGACTCTCGGGTACCCTACACTTTAAGAGGAACTCTGGGAAAGGGGTGCTCAAGGGTTCAAGCTTCACCCCCCACCTGCCTCTATGACTTGCCTGTTTCCTTCTTTCCCCTAGGTGGTTGCCCCCTCCCTCTCTTGAGATGTCAGGAAGGCGGGGGCCACCTGTGTCCTCCACAGGGGCCCCTGGAAGCCTGGGGGCCCTCGTCCCCAGATCTTGGAGGCGGAGGAGGTGCTGCTGACAGGTTTGGTTACCTCTGGCTGCATCCCAGTCCTTTCCATGCCACCCTTCCCCAGAACCACAGGTGAATGAACCTCCAGAATGTTGTAGAGAAACTGCAATATCCATGGTCCCCCAGCCTCTCTCAGTCCCAGCTAAGTTTCACACACTGGGAAACTAAGGCCGCACATGAAGTATCTTGCCTTGTTAGCAGAAGTTTTGAGCTGAACTTGGGTCTCCCTAGTATTCCAGATCATGGCCTTTCTCAACATTTTGGAACATCCTCTAGGCTGCTTAACCCTTAACTTAGGGTTCCTTAGGGTTGTAGAGGCAGAATGCCAGAGTGGAGTTGCCCTGAGAGGGTTCAAGTCCTGCCTTTGCCATTTGCTGGCTGTGTGACCTGGTGCAAGTCATTAACTTCTCTGAGCCTGTATTTCCCCATTTGTTGAGCATTTCCCCATTTGTTAAGTAATAGTAGTTGAATAATTATGATTACTCTAGAAGTCAGGCATTACCCAAGTCCTAGAATACAGGGGCCCCCAAGTTTCTAGAACAAGGGCTTTACCACAGGTTCTGACATGCAGGCCTCCCTGGGGTTCCCAACTTCTGTCCACCCCTAAGTTTTACCCTCTTTTCTAACCCCAGCCTCCCTCTCTCTATCTTCAGGTGCTCCGAGAGATGCTTCCCCACCCCTCACGCTCCCTTCCCATCCTCCTCCTTGTCCTCCTCCCCAGTGTCCCAATGGAGCCCCATCCCGCACCCTCACCACTGCCCCCATTTCTGGCCCCTGAGTGGGACCTCCTGTCCCCTCGAGTAGCCCTGTCCAGGGGCACCCCCGCTGGGCCCCCTCTGCTCTTCCTGCTGGAAACTGGCGCCTTTGGGGACTCAGCAGCTGCCCCAGCCAACCGCAGCCGGCGTGGGGTGAGAGAGTCAGCACCAGCAAGTCGCCGGGGTGAGCTGGCTGTGTGTGATGCAGTCAGCAGCTGGGTGACAGACCGCAGGACGGCTGTGGACTTACGTGGTCGAGAGGTGGAGGTGTTGGGCGAGGTGCCTGCAGCTGGTGGCAGTCCCCTCCGCCAGTATTTCTTTGAGACCCGCTGCAAGGCTGATAGCACTGGGGAAGGTGACCCCGGTGGGGGTGGAGGGGGCTGCCGGGGTGTGGATCGGAGGCACTGGGTATCTGAATGCAAGGCCAAGCAGTCCTATGTGCGGGCGTTGACCACCGATGCCCAGGGCCGTGTGGGCTGGCGATGGATTCGAATTGACACTGCCTGCGTCTGCACACTCCTAAGCCGGACTGGCCGGGCCTGAGGCCCATGCCCAGGAACTGTTCAGTCAGAGAAAGAAGAGAATTGGATGCTGAGGAACATCACGGGTGGCCTGGCTGCTCTAAGGGCCTCTGTTTGGGAGCTTGTCAAATGATCACAATATCACAGCTGTCTGATTTTGAGAGCTCAATCTGTTGCAGGATGGGTGATGAAACCAAGTGGGGTTTCAATGAATAGGAATTCTCCTGGAGGAACTTGAGGGTAATAATAATGATAACAACAATAATGATAGCCAGCATCTACTGAGTGCTTACTGTTTATCAGCCCTAATCCGTAACTCCCCATATCAGCTCTCCTGGACTTGAACATCAGAGGCCCTCAGCTTTAAGTTGCTGACCACTCAATCTCAAAGGACACTGCCTTGTTGACCCTTGAGAGAGGAATAAGGAATGGGTCAAGAAGTGGGTTGGATGGGCCGGCCCGGTGGCGCACTGCGCTAGTGCGCCGCTCGGGAAGCGCGGTGGCGCTCCTGCCGAGGGTTCGGATCCCACATGCAGACCGGTTCCCGCTCAAGGATAGAAACGAACGTGCAAGCAGTCAGCCAGAGGACCTTGAGAACATGGTCCACAGAAGGCCCTTAAGTATCTAGGAGAAAGGGTTCAAATGAGAAATCTTATTTGGTCAGTGGGGGCAAGTGCTGGCTTAGAATATTGTGTTTCGAGGTAGTGAGCCACCCATCACAATGGGAGCACAAGCACGGTTGAATGATAAGAGGTCAGGATGCTGAAGAGTTCAGTCCTGGGTACGGAGCTGCAGTCAGTTTTTACCTCCATTCCCCATCCCAACCTTTACCCCACATTGTGAAAGAAATAGACCTTAAAATTCTCCAGCTTGGGGCCGGCCCGTGGCTCACTCGGGAGAGTGCAGTGCTGATAA